GGGGGACCCGCGATACTCACGGGGGAGGGAGAAGCTCCACGGGAGAAGAAGGAAGCAGCCGCAGGTGAGCCTTCTCCCCTTTCTACCCCCGTCCCTGGCACCCATGGCGAGGCCCGTGCCCCTCAAAGCCTTCTCCCTCCTCCCCCCCAGCACCAGCAAGGCCTGACCTCGGTCCGCCAAGTTTCCCCCACCCTCTCCCCTAGCGGTGGTGGCGAGGCCTCGTTGGCCCGCCAACCTTTCTCCCTCCCCCCCTCAGCAGCGGCAGCAGCGAGGCCTCGCCGTGGTGGCAAGGCTGGAGCTCGGCCAGCCAAACTTTCTCCCTCCCCCCGGGCAGCGGTGCCTAGGGATGTGTGGCTTACAGCCGCCAGCCGGCCAAGCCTTCTCCCCCACCCCCTCCCCTTCTTTAGCGGTGGCAGCAAAGCCATTTTAAGACCGTTCCCTGCGCATGCGCAGGGGGTGCTCTGTTACTTTTTTGGAAATTTAAATATCCCCCCTATATTTTTTTTACAGTTTTCAGATTTTTCTGCACACCTGGGCATTGCCCCACGTGCGCAGGAAAATCTCCCTGCCCCCCCCAAGTGCCCCCAATGTGCGGATTTAGATATCCGCATGCAGGGGGCGCCTTCACTATTAGATATATAGATATTTGAAGTGGCATATAACCACATAAATATCATATACTCTGGAGCCTAACTAAATGTTACATTTTACATTTGTATATTAACAGGTATATATAAGTAGACCTAAGTGACATGCATCTGGTTAGTCCTTGACCTGTTATAGCCATTGAAGTACTCCATCAATTACCAGCTGAGAAAGAAAAGCTCTGAAACCAACATTGTCTTTTGGGGGGCCTTTCCCATGCCCACTGAGCAGCCCAGACTCCACCACCATTTCAGGCGTAGCTGGGCTGGGCATGGAGAGAAGGTGCTATGAGGGGAAGGAGGTAGTGGCAGAGAGGGGAAAACGAACACTTTGTGAGGTGCTAACTGTTGGAATATACGTCTATAGTGCACTGATCAGAAGAACAGCCTATAAGGGGCAGATGAAGGACTGCTAGTTAGCATAACTAAATTAGGGACTTTCCACAATTTCAAATTATGTCCTTCCTGTCTCCTGACTGGCTCTTTGAAGACTTCCTACTCCAACTGAGCCCTCCCCCTTTGTTTCTGTCTCTTACAGCAGTTAGTCAGTTAATTAAGCCTCTCTCCCTCTCCTCTGCTCTGTCAGAATTTAGTACTTCTTTAAAAAACCAAGTTATTTTCTTTAAACAGTTGGTGCTCCATTCCTTGACTCTGCCAACACTAACCCCCTAAGGCTTTTTTTCATAGCATGGGGGAATGAGGAGATGGTGGTGGTGATGGTGGTGGCGACAGAGAAGGATGTGCTCACTGAGAAGGCACCTTAGCTCACCTCATCCTCCATGACTCCCACAGTCCCTTGTCTCCTCTCCTCTCCCAGCCCAACAAAGCTTGGGAAGAGGGTGAGAGTTGGACTGCTTGACGGGGGTGGCAAAGGCCACCACAATGAATGCTGCCAACTGCTCAGGTGCAAAATCACTTAAAATACTACTAGCTTTAATCATATTTATTTAGAAAATGTATATGTAGCTTTCCCCAAAACCTGCTTTAGGCAGCTCACCAAGTAAAAACAGTACAATAAAATTATAAAAACTACAAGAATGATTGATATTAAAACTAGCCAAAACCCCAGAGGCATAAAAAGAGAGCAATGACAATATTCAGTGGCCTAAAACAATGTCCAAAAACAGTCCTCTGGCTACAAGTGGAGCTCCAAACTTCTAAAAAAAGAGGTGACCCCTCAGTGGGTTCCATGGATGAGCAGGCTTGAGTCTAGTGATCAGCTCAACTTTATTTGTGATTTCAGCAAGGGCAAGACAAGGCCCCAGAACCACAGCTCTGTTAAATAGCATGCAATTGCCACACCCAAACACACCCACTCCCAATAATAGGCTATTTACATAACATTACTACTTGATTGGTTACTTCCAGAGTCCTGGTAGGCTATTGTTCTTGTGCTCCAAGCTCAGCCAGTCCCTGGTGTGATATACCTGGAATGGTTCAGTCCCAATACATAACACCCCTCACCCATAGTCTTCAAGGTATGCTGGCTTGCGACATTCCCTGTGAGAATGTTGGGGCTCCTGTGGGGATGGAGACGACACCAGAGCCAGGCTTGGTGAAGCAGAAACCGCACTGGAGTCCTGCGCACTGGGAACAGAATCCGGGGGGGGGGGTTGTAGCGACCTGTGCAGGGCCTTCCCCTTCCCAACAATCTGGCTGCATGCTATAGTTGGGGGGCTGTTCTCGGCCAGTGGCAGCACCAATGTTCCCTGGCTGTCATCTTCCTCCTTGGTGGAAGATAAGTCAGGCTCCATGGGCAGCAAGCGGCAGCGGAGCTGGTTGATGTGTCTGCGAAGAAGCTGGGCCCCATCCATCAATACCTCATATGATAGGGGTCAAGTGACTCAGGTAACCTTTGCCGGGATCCATGCGGGGCTGTTGGAATAGTTCTGCACGAAGACAGGGTCACCTGGAAAGAACCCTCTGGAGGTATCCTGGCTCACCAGAGATTGGCGCAACTCCGGGGCTCAGTCTGGGTGCAAGCAGTCCAGTCGCATCATGAGGCGGCGGTCCATTAAGAGTTCCACGGGGCTATGGCTGGTGGATGCACTTGCGCTCACCCAATGGCTGAACAGGAAGACAGCCAGCTGGAGATCCCAGTCCGCTAGAGTGAGCCACTTTAGCACATCCTTGGTTGTCCACACCATCCGCTTGGCTTGTCTGTTGGTAACTGGGTGGAATGGAGCGGACCGCATGTGCCTGATGAGGTTCTTGTCCAGGAACTCCTTGAACTCTCTCCAGGTGAAGGTGGAGCCATTATTGGTCATGACCATGTCTGGTAGACTATGTGTACTAAAAAACTGTCTTAGGGCCCAGATGGCTGCATGGGATGAGGTAGATGCGACTGGCATGACTTCCAGCTACCAAAGTTCTGGCCAGGAGCTACGTGTGGTGGCCAGGAATGGACAGCGAAATCGAGGCCTGGGTACAGCGCTGCCAGGCCTGCCAGGAGATGTGCCCCAAAACTCCAAGGGCTCCTGTTCACCAGTGGGAGACTACCCACACGCCATGGGCACGGGTGCATTTGGACTTTGCCAGCCTGTTCCAGGGTCAGTTATTCTTTCTCCTGGTCAACGTGGCAAATTCCACATGAAAAATAGCATGTCACAGCCTGGGGAACTCCTACAAGACAATGACTCAGCTCTACCCCCACCTTCCTAATAGATATAAATTACCTGCCTACCATTTTTCTTCTCACCTTGACACAGAGAGTACTCCATCTTTCTGTGTTATACATCTGAGGATGCCAGTCACAGCTGCTGGTGAAACGTCAGGTCCTACAATGCCAAGACCATACAGCCCAGAAAATCTACAACAACTAATGTTGAATCTCTTGATGAATCCTAATTTAACACTTTTCAATTGGATTCTCTGTTTGAAGTTCTTTTGCAACAGAACAATAACCTTTAGATCAGTGATGTGAGTAAAGAGCTCAAAGCCATCTAGATTTAGCTCAAGAAGAACCCACGGCAGTTCTGCCTCCCAAAATCAAAGCCAGGGAGTGATAGTACACTTTTTTAATTTTATGATTAATTTTTTAAAAAAAAATTCCAAAAAAAAAGTGGGATAAAAAAGTGGGAAAAGGGAGTAAGGGAAAATATAGATTCATCATATTCATCAAATATTATGGGTTGTTACAACAAGTAAAATCAGATATCTTAGTAAGAATTCATATTTCAAATATAGAAGCAGACAATAAAACATCAATATTACAGTGTTTTGGGATGGGATCTCTCTTTAAAGAATAAATAAGAACTTTCTTAATGTTAGTGATAATCTATTAACAATAAGAGGGATTACATCTTTAGCAGTTGAACAAACTTCTATGCTAAGATTAAATCATCATTAAAATCTGAATATTGTTTCAATTGTTTGTCAAAATCTAAGTTTCATTCTTACTATAATCAATATCTTCATCACCTTTAATATGATACTCAGATAATTCCAAAAATAAAAAATTAGTTATTCCCATAATGTGTGTAGTAATATTATATAGTTTTGAGGGTCAGAGAAGGATTCCTTGAGAAGATGTTTGATTATTCCTTCACATGCCTTTTCCCCAGTTGAAATTTCCAACCAGCTTCTCAAAAGTTGGCAACTTGGAAGAAAAAATGCAGGTACTGGAGCTCTAACCCCTTTCCCTTTTTAAGGGAATTTCAGCTTGGGTGGGAGTGGGGATTTCTATTTGGGGAAGGCCTGGAAGGACAGGCTTAGTAAACTATATTGAGTGGTACAGAAATCTTTAAACAAACACCCAAACACCAATTCCCACTGTGCAGTTCTTTGAATCTTCAAAGCAAACAGTAGGAGCTGCTAAACAGTTTTGGTTTCTAATCTTCTTCAGATCTGCTGCATGTTGTCCATTGTGATCCTGACATGGAAATGCTTCTTGGTGCCTACTAAAGCCCAGTAACCATTAACAAATGAGGGATTTACTTGCATTGGAGAACATTATTATCCAAAGAAAAAACCAGCCCTACTGACCTGGTTGCTGTACATGCCCCCCATGTAGGTTTTTAGAGGTTTATGACCCCCACATACTACCTCCCCAACCCTCTTGCTCATATGCACCTGTGTGGTGGGAAATGTTACATTTGGATGATTTTCTTGTAAGGAAACAGTTATAAGAATACTTTGAAAAAAACAAAACATCTTCAGAGAGCACACTGCCCTGTCGTAAAATTCGAACTCCCCTTGGGACTACTGTGATTTCTCATGGGGAAGTACATATTTTCACTTCTCAGAAATGACTAGGCATACTTATAGTACAGTACACAGCGGTCTGTAAAGACATAAGTTAAAAGCCTCAATCGGTAATTGTGAATTGATTGGTAAATTGTATAGCACAGAGCCAAAATGATGTCCACCTCTCTTTTCATCTGTGGCATCTGGACTGTTGTGACAGGTAAGTCTTGCACCAATTAGCTTCATTTTTTTTAAAAAAAAATAACATTATTGAAAGAGCCATCATGAACACACAGGTAAAATTTTCATTATGTTTGTACAATGATTGCATGGTATAATCTGTCTCCTCCACCTCATGAGTTTATTGCTTAATGTATGGAGGAAGAATGGTAGTCCAGCAAGAGCAGATCAAGAAGGTGTTCTGGCAGGTGGTAAAAAGATGGTGGTAGAAAGACTGCAGCCACGGTGGCTGCAGGTCCTCAGTTAGCATTCAATTCTGGTTTGACATAGTGACTGACTGAATTTACTAGCTGGCATGCAAAGTAAATGTAGTCAAATGTAGTAAAAAGGTCTAAATTTGTACCAGTGTTCACCAGGATTTTGCCCTGGCATCCTTTTTTAAAAAAATCCCAGTACTCAAAACTGGAACTTATGAAATAAGAATAGTGCCTCTGAGCTGGTGCAGAGTACATATCTCTCACTTTTGAATAATGGCAGGAAGTCCTCACAAATATGTAAGTAGAGGGGGAAAGTCTTCCATGTTAGAGAGTAGAATTTCTAGGCAAGCCCAAGTCGTGGCATCTTCCCCCCTCCCCCCAAAATTGTAAAGTTGTCAGGCTGTAGCTGAAGGTGGGGGCTGTGCTGGCTTTATCATGACAAGTCACCCTCCTGAAGAAAGTTGTCAGAATTTAGCAACTTGTTACTTTATTTTTGCAGGTGCAGCCCAGGTGATTCACAAGTCAGTTCAAACAGCTATAGCTGGAGAAAATGTGACGTTGTACTGTCAGCTGGCTGAAAGCTATGATGTCGTTCAGGTTACCTGGCAGAAGGAGCATGGGAAAGACAAGACCAATATAGCTACTTACAGCACAACTCATGGTCCTAAAGTCCTGGGCAAATATCAGAATCATGTGCATATTTCTCAAAGTGGGCTGAGTGTTTCTACCATCACTTTTCATGCTGTTACAGTCAAGGATGAAGGCTGTTACAGCTGCATCTTTAACACATTTCCCTTGGGATCCATGCCAGGCAGGACATGTCTCCAGGTCTATGGTAAGTGACATGATGTCTGGGAAAGTCTGTAATCTTCCCAGAAATCCATCAGGTCCAAGTTCTTTTATGTCAAGAGCTGTGCACAACAGTGCATTAGTAGTCAATTCCAGGAGGCTAGTCAAGTTCATCTGGGGCAGCAAAGTACAAGAGAAGACCAATGGCAACTTAAAGACTAAGAAACTATATTCCACTTCATCAGATCACTTTGTTGGATTTAGTTAATCAACAAAAGAGTATAGTAGGGCAACACACACACACATATTCCATACAACAGATCTGTACCTTAATTAACTGCTCACTCTCCATACTTACCAGTGCAATAAGATATTTTAGATGTTGCAAAATAATGAGAAATATTGTAAAAAACAAACAAACAACGATTAAATGTCCCCTGCATAATCTACATACATCCACTAGTTATTGCCCTCAATTGTATGGAGCAAAGCTCAGTCTTAAAAGATATTTGTCTTTAAGAAAGCCTGATGTTAAATATGTACCCCTCTTGCTTCACTCTGAGGTGTAATCTTGTTTTGCCCAGGCTTTAATGAAATGTTGTGCAAAAACATGAATACATTTGATTTCAAAAAATGATACTTCCATTCCTTTCATAAGCAGTTCATAGAGTACAGAGAATAGATTCTTTCCTTCATCTCCCAAATTAGTGTAAGATCTTGGTAAGAGTAAGGTGGAAATAGTGTTATTATTTCCTTCATACCTCACTTTTCTCCCAATGGGGACCAAAAGTGGCTTACAGCATTTCCCCCTTCTCCATTGTATTCTCACAACAACTTGTGAGGTAGGATAGGCTGGAAGTGTAAGACTGGCTCAAGGTTACTCTCTTCAAGAATCAAAAGGAAGAAGACAGAACAAATATGTGACAACTCCCTAGATAAACATCAAGTAGTGTTCAACAAATGTTATTTACAAACTTTGTAAAAAGCACACTCTCCTAAAAGGAAATAGACATATAGATCAGGCACTGTACATAAATCTTGTATTTTAAGGTCTACACAGAAAACTACAGCAACACAATTATAATTATACAAGTGAGGGAGAATCCTATATCCCCCCATTGCTGAGCCAGTGAAACCCCAGGTCCCACCACCCTTCACTGATACCAGCAGCCATCTGCCACCACTGCCCCCAGACTAGCAGCAGCTTTGATCCAGAGTGCTTTGACCCAGAGCGGCTGCCACTGCGCTCAGGCCCTCTCGATGCCAGGCCCACAGCAAATGCCAGCATCTGCTGCTGCAAGGCCCGAGTCCACAGCAGGTGCCGGTGTTCTCTGCTGTGGCTGAGCCTGTGGTGGCTGCCAGTGTTCTCCACTTCCAGGCCTACAGTGGTGCCAGTGTCCTCCTCCACTGTGGTGGCCATCTGGAGTGCTGTCTTTAAGTGTGTTGTCTGTGTACACAATTTTGTTTTGGAGGGATTTAACCACCACCACCCCATCTCTTTTATTTTTGTTTTAAGATTTTTCTGTAAACTTTGGGAGTCCCCAAGTATGCTGAAAAATCTCTTTAGCATCCATAGATTTAGCTATTTGCAGATGGGGGCCACACATGGCTAATAGTATACAGATGATCTTTGTCATAATTCAGTTAGATTTTTGTAATCACTCATTGGAACCAAGAAGATTTCTCCCTTCTAATATCAACTCCATGAGCTCAAGTGCACAAGATGCGGCACTAATACTTTCTGGGCCAAACATATAATGTGGCATGCTGTCAGTGATTAGAATCTAACTGGTTTTTTAAAAGAACTAATGAGCAGCTCCATATAATTTCTTTGAAGATCAAAGAAGGGTCACTGGGGAAGAGAGTGTTTAACTCTTTTCTTCTGTGTATCTTCCATTACCCTGAAAATTTCAATAGAAAGAAAAGGGTGCAGATAAATAGTCTTCATGAAGGCTATTTAATTTGGGGAAATGGCATGGGAGAAAGGGTTAAATACTTCCTTCCCAGTAATATTGCCTTAATCTTTAAAGCAGCTACATGCCATAACTTAGGAAAAAACCTCAGGAGATCCTAATCACAGATAACTTGTATCCAGGGCTATTTTTGGGCAGGAACGCACAGGAAAGGAGTTCTGGCTGGCTTCAGAGTTGGCAACGCCCACTACAGCCAAAACCTCTGCATGCGTGGCTACAGAGGGAAGGCCTGGAGAGTGACCACCCCCCGGTGACTCTGAGGCGGGCAGGCTAGGGGGGGCTTGGAAGGATCGGGGAGGCATTTAAATGCCTCCCCGTGTCTTCCCCAGCCTGTCCAACGGCCGTCTTGCCCAGGCTCCCCACAGCTGCGGGATGCCCAGGCAAGCCAAGGGAAGGCATGGGGTGTGGCCTAATATGCTAATAGGCTGTACCATCAGGGGTGTGGCCTAATATGCTAATGAGTTTCTGCTGTTGGGTGTGGCCTATTATGCTAATGAGTTCCCTACTGGGATTTTTCTACCAAAAAAGCCTGCTTGTATCACCTCTAGTGTATTACTTAGAGTGCCCTAAAATGTTGTGAGTGATTGGTTGATTGGTTGGTTAGTTGGTTAGTGATTAGTTTAATCACTAACAAACCCAAGAGATTGATCACCATTCATGAGTTGATCCCTCATGAATTAATGTGGGACAGAAAATGTTTATACCATGCCAGCCAACAAAGTATCTCTAAATCCTTACAATAACTGTAAGTGCAGGAGATTTTAATTTGGGCTTCATCTGCCTTTGTTGTTTCTTGGTGATTAAAATGGCATGGAGGCATGTCTTCATTTCCACAAGCTGTGGAATGGTGTTGGTGCATAATGGGGATTTCCAGTTATAGATGAAGCATTTCTCCAATGCTGAAAGGAATATGGAAGACCACACACAGCTCTGTATGTTCACTGGATTTTTGTGAAATTTTAGATTAGTTCATAATAGTTTTGCATCCATCTCAACCTTTTAGAACACTGGGTACTGGGGGGTGGGGTAGACCAATAGACTGTATTCAGCTTGATCCTTATTAGTTTTACAGGGATAATATTTTGGCTCCAGTCTACATAAATGCTATGATTATTGCTGTTGTTTCCAGAAAGGACTTGTCTCAAGATATCTTATCTTTTCTATCAAGATGTTTAGCCGCTTCAAACCACACTCCCCTTCCTCTGAAATACCATTGCTAAGTTTTCTCAGTCCATACTATGATGATAGCCATCAACTGCATTTCAGCTGAGGAAATTTTTCTTCCTGTATATCTGAAGTTGTGTTTCTTTATTCTCAGAAATGTTGCAGATAGCTATCTACATATAACTCAGTTAAGAAACCCTACCTTTCTATTCAAAATTAATACTTAAGGTGGCTGGTAATCCAAATTCACAGTACTTAATTGTAGCCACCTGCTGATCTGAGAATCATGCCACAGGCCCTCATCTCAGACACCCTGGGGATGAAGAAGGACATTCCCATCTAAAGTGAAGTAGCCTGGAGGAACTGGCAGTTTGTGTGTACCAGTGGGTCTAACATTCTGCTAGCCAGAGGTTAACTTATCCAAAAATCTAACTTCCTTAGTGTATAAACAATTAAGTTATAGCAAAGAAGAAAAACACACTTTGTTTCAAAAACAATGGAAAGAAGACTTAAAAATAGATATTAATGAGGAAGACTGACAAGTAATTTGGGATGGCTACAGTAGAAACTCAAAAATTATTTATTTAAATACCTTAATGTCTAAAATTATTATGAGATGGTACATTCCACCCACCAGACTATTCCGTATTAACAACTTATATAGTCCACTTTGCAAAAAACAATGTGGTAAAAAGGCTGACTTTATACACTGTTGGTGGTCATGCTCTATAATACAACACTTTTGGCAGATTATATTAGAGAAAATCAAAGAAATAACTGATGTTGACTTACCTTGCTCCCCTGAAATAATGTTACTGGAACGTTGGCCACATCGTAGAAAACACAAAAGAAAAGAGGAGTTAATCGCATACCTATTAGCAGCTGCTCGTCAGCTGGTGGCAACAAAGTGGTTAGAAAAGAATCCGCCTAAGCTATCTCAATGTTATAATCGAATATGGGAAATTTTTATTATGTATAAACTGACAATTAAAATGTGTAATGCATCTCCTGATAAATATCACAAAAAAGTTGTTGCTGTTTGGTATCCTGTTGTAAGTTATATGTTAAACAATGATATTATTCCGGATAATCCACAATATAAAAAAATGGTGTATTTTTGATTCATATAGTTAAGAACGAAGAATACAATTTGCTGTATTTGGTTTGTTTAAAGTTGATACTCTGTAAATTTTGATTAAAAAATGTTAATAAAAAAAAGACACCAGTTGGCAATGTAAGGTGAGACAAGAGAAAGAAGTCTGCGAGGAGCATGGAGATGGGGCAAGGAAGAGAAAGGCAAGCCCATGGGAGGAGATCTATGGGAAACTGAAGCTCAGAACAGCCAGTGGAGGGGACAGATGGGCTGGTGAAGCATAGCCCAGGGAACATTCGTTAATCATATTTTTATTGCACTGTTAATTGGCGGTCTCTGCTGTCTCTTAATTGGAGGTCTCTCATCTCTGTAATTCACCTTGAGTCTCAGTAAGAAAGGTAGGCTATACATTGAGTAAATAAAAATAAAATAATAAAGGTATCATGTACCTGAAAATACAAATAGCTGTCTCTATGCTTTACCATCTAGCTGCATACAGTTCTAGTCACAGCAGATTTGTTAAAGGGCCATTGTGTCCCTTGCCCCTATGTCCCTGTTTCTTACCAGCCTTTTGTGTGCCCCCTGGAATGTTATAGATGTTATTCATGTTTAACTGCTTCTGTTTTACAGCTCTAAAGGAACCCAAGATTGATGTGAAACATACTAGTCCAGACAGCACAGGAAAAGAAATGCTAAAAATAAGCTGCTCAGTAACAGGGAGACCAGCTGCAGTGATCACCTGGAAGGTCCCGGAATACCTTCATATAAAGCCAATCCAATATGTCACTCACCATCCAAACCAAACAGTGACTGTAGTGAGCAATTTTACTCACATGTACTCCAAAGATCTCTGGAAGAACCCAGTCAGCTGTGTCATTCAACATCCATCTTTAAACATTACACACGAATTAACTTTGCCTGAGAATGGGGTAGAACAAGGTGAGTTTAAATGTGAATGTTTCTTATTTTAATATATAACTGGTGTGCAGGACATCTTTCAACCTTGGCCAGGTGTCTCCAAACAGACTTCTTCTGAGCCCAGTGAAAGGTCAGTCTCCTTTGGCTTGCAGTGAGTGCAGCTGGTGTTTCTCTAGCCTTCCCTGTGCACCAGCACATCTACCATGTCTACATTACAAATAAGAATGGGCATGAACCAGCTCACAAACTTACGTTTGTGACAAATTTTGACTGGTTCATGCTTCACAAAGCCAAGTTCGTAGCAGGACGACTGGCATGAACTTTCCATGAACTTTCCAACTGTTCATAGAGATTTGTGCTGGTTTTTGAGCATAGAATCATAGAATCATAGAGTTGGAAGGGACCTCCAAACAGTCTGTCTCTGCTTTATCAAAATGTTTTCAAAACTTCAAAGCAACAACTTGGAGGGCCTGTAGAGGGGTATCTAGGAAAGGTCCCTGGTGACTTTGATGTTTCTAGCTTGCAAAGGACCCATTCTATATACTCCTGAATCTCCTGAACCTGCACCTATCAAAATGATTGCTGGTGGTCAGGTTGAGGAGGTTCAGGAGCTTATAGAATCGATTCTGTGAAAGCTAGAGACACCACACCCACAGGAGACCTCCATTGGATGCTGCTCTACAGGCCCTCCAAGTTTGTTGTCTCTAGCTTGCACAGGATCTATTCTATACACTCCCGAACCTCCTGAACCCGCGCCTGTCAAAATGACCACTAGTGGTCATTTTGACAGGTGCAGGTTCAGGAGGTTCAAGCGTGTATAAAATGAATTCTGTGCAAGCTAGAGTCACCAAACTCACAAAACCTCTCCAGCTTTCTCTCCTCTACCTGCCCTCCAAGTTTGGTGAGGATTGGATTTACAAAGTCGGAATTATGGCTCCCCAAAGAAGGTGGCTCCAGGAAAGTGCTTTCTGGGGAAATGACAGGCAATAATTTCCCCAGAAAGCACTTTCCTGAGGTCACCTTATTTTGGGGGCTGTAACTTGGACCCTGTAAATCCGATCCTCACCAAACCTGGAGGACAGGTAGAGGAGAGTCAGTTGGAAATCCCCTGCAAGTTTGGTGTCTCTAGCATGCTGGAGGGGCATTCTACAGCCTCACAATCTTCATAAACCAAACCAATTTGTGAGGTGGCTAAACATTTGTGATGTGCCCAATGGGGCACATCACAAACCATGAACTGAACTGCATTTTCCTGGTTTGTGCCCATCCCTAATTACAAATTGCTTCCACACTAGCACAGTGTTTCCTAAAAACAGCTGCAGTAGAAACAGGCATAAAACTGAAACTCTATCACACTCATACACTTAGCATACAAAGTCTATGTCCCGCTGTGGGCTACTCCGCGGCCTCATAGGCCGCGGCGGCGGGACTAGCGCGGCCAGCGCTGGGCTCCCCATGAATACCGGGAGGTGGATGGGCCATGGGAAACAGTCCCAGAGACTCGAGCATCCCCAAACCCCTCCCTCAACGACGGCCGCAATGCAGAGGGAACTCGGAGGAGATGGGGTCGAAGGAGCGGTCCGGCATGGACGGCGCTCCTCTACCTAAAGGGGGGAGGGCCCAGTTGAAAGATAGAGGTAATTGGAGGGCCCCTGCCTTACCCCTCACCCTCAGAAAGGAAGAGACAGCGAGTGGCAGTCACGGCGTCCGAGACGGAAGTGGGCACTCCCCTGCATGCATAACTTCAAGATAGAGGCACGGGGATTTAAAGAGAGGTGGGACAAAAAGGGGAAACACTAAGAGATTGGAGAATGCGGTGATGGGCGGCGGGAAGAGGCTATGGGCTCCAGAATAGCTTGAGGGGTGTGTCCTTAAGGGAGGGGCAGGGAGATAAAAGGAAAGAAACGGAAAATGCCGGGGAGGAGTTCAGAGATAATTGCACAGCTAAGGCAGACAGAGAGGGTGTAAAAGCGATTGCTCTGAGAAAGGTGTCTGGACTGTGACGCAACACCCAGCCCTTTCACATCTGAGGCACTTGTTTCCTTCTGCGATCTCTCTTCCAAAACGGCGACAGGATTTTCAGGGCTCAGGGACGACCCTGAGCATGACAGTCTACAAATCTATTATCTAAAACTAATACAAATTATCTATCTGCATCTGTCTAACAAACTATATTCTTATGCTAATTTTGAAAGGACCTAAAGCAAATATGAAATATCTGTATTAATCTATTTTTAATTATTCAATAAATCTGCTAATCCTAAATCTTATTCCTAACTACTAAATCAATGTATACAGTGAGGGGTTGAGTGGTAGTCATTTGAGGAGAATGAAAAGGAACACAGGTTCTGCATATGGAATGTTGCTCCAGAGCATTAATCAAAAGCAAATGGCCAGTAGGGGGATTATAAAGCAGTTATGCCCATTTTTCATTTTGAAGGGACTAATGTGAAAATGCTTTCTGTTATTTGTGCCTGTTTCAGGATTCTATCAGTTGTCAGTCACAGGCTTTGCTCTCATCCCTGCTTCCACTACACTTGTTACCAGGCTGCATGGGGAATATGCTTCACTTTCATTTTCCAGGCAACCCATCCTAAACCGTTTGGAGAATTATTTTTCACTTTCATTTGTCAGGCAGCTCAGCCTGCTTTTTATATGTATCAAAAGGATTCCAAATATCTGGAACAGTAAAATTTGGATTCGGATGTATTTCGAATATTGAGCACACATTAAACTGCTTTACCCCAAGTCTGCTAGTATTTCAAGGCCAGCAGTTGTCCAGGGTAGATGTCTTATTATTTGTTATTATTTATTTATTTATTTGTTAAATTTGTATCCCACCCTCCCCGCCATGGCAGGCTCAGGGCTGCCTACAGAATATATATATATATATACTAGGAATAAGGCTCGTTGTGGAAATAAATACAACGAGCTCTAGAAATAGGCTCTGAGCGGGTGCCCTGGCCTTGAGCACTCAGTGTCAATTTGCTGTGGTTAGCTCAGCAGGGTATAATGACACCAATTCCACCATTTTCTCCAGAGGAACTGATCTCTGCTACCTCAAGAACAGTTGTAAGTTTGAGTGATCTCCAGCCCTCACCTGGAGATTGGCAACAATGGTTCCCCATGAGGGAATGGCTGGTTTGGAGCATGGAGTCTATGGCAGTGTACCTGTCTGAAGTCCCACCCCTCCTGAAACCTCACCCTCTCCAGGCTCCATCCCTCAAATCTCCAGGAATTTCCCACCTGGAGTTGGCAACCCTATCTCCTTCCCAGCCAATCATCAACCTACCTTTATTTCCCCCTCACTCTTCAGCTTTCCACCCCCCTTACCTGCAGTCTCTACCGTGCTCTGAAGCCCTGACTGCTACGTCACATTGGCTGTCATACAGGGGCCATCTCAGCAGGATATAAGGACACAGAGTCCACCATTTTCTCCAGGAGAAACGGAGCTCTTCCACCAAGCCGCCTCTTAGGGTGCCACCTTTTAATACTATGGCCCTGGCCCTAACACCAGCACTAACTCAACGACCACAGCCTGGTAGGAACCTGGACTATGGTGGTAGGCGACCTTCCAATGTTGAGAGAATGCCACCATCTTGTATCAATATCTATGTGGGTAGAATAAAGGTAACTTCATTTGATTATGTGCAATAAAACCCAAGGTGAATGGGAGCGACAATTTTAACAAAACCTCAGGTTTTTTGCATCCATGGTAGTATTGCTCATGTCACAAGATGAGTTGTTTTTGCAATCAAATGCATTTCTAGGACAAATTCTGATTTTAAGCATATACCCACATCACCAGTATTCACGTCTCTGTGCTTCTAAAGAGATATCCTAGGTCATGTATCAATAACACACTGACACTCATCTAAGGCATGAAAAAATACATTTCTGCAGACATCCACTATGATTCTGCTGGCACAAAATGTTTTTAGCAATGCCCTCTTCACACACAGGTTTTTCTGCCCCGTTTTCTGCCTCTCCCATCTCATGTATTTATTTCTCTGCAGCAAAAAGAAAAGTTCCGGGAACTCCCATAATTGTCTGCATATTGGTTATCATCTTTATCCTGGGGCTATTGGCCTTTTCTGTCTTCAAGTGCTGGAGGAGAGTACCCCCCAGTGATGCAAAGCAGGATCTTCTACACGTGGTGAGACTGTTTTTTTAAACTGAAAGAATGGGAAGCTGGGATCAACTGAATAAAAAACTCATGGGATTTTAACCCACAAAGCCTGTTTTCAGTGATGGGGTTTGGCTTTGTATGAGGTAAAGGAAGGTTAGGACTGAAGATGCTTCTGACCATTTGCAGAGACTAGTTTCGTCACCTGTCGTGGAACAGAGGCCTATTAATGGCTGTAAGTCATGATCACTAAAGGTATTCAGAGGCAATATGCCTTTGTGCTAGATGCTGGATATAAAGAGCAAGTCAAAGGAATGTTTCCTTTATGACCTGCTTATAAACCTTCTTGAAAGTTTCTGGCAGATGGGGATCACAACCTAAGAAGGGTGTGCTGGACTAGGACTTCAAGGTGGTGGTGTATACTGAGTCGGCTATGTGCGAGGTCGGGTCTGCACGCGGTCCTGCGGAGAGCCCGAGCTTCGCTCATACAAACAATAGATGGTCAGATCCTAGTCCACTCCAATCGGGAAGCTAGGATCTTAGAGTTAACCTATTAAGCACGAGCACTGTAAATAAACCAATCATGGGTGTTGGGGGGTGGTGTGTGTTGAGTGTGGTTTGCCTTGGGGTTATAAGCCGGCCTGCGAGCCGGCTGTTGTTGTCTTGTTCCTGAATAAACTATGAGCTGATTGACTCAAGTATGCATCGGACCCAGTATATTATAGGTGGGCTCTTCATTTAGAACAGAGGTGTCAAACATATGGCCCATGGGCTGGATCTGGCCTCTGCAGGGCTCAGATCAAACCCATAAGCGACTTCCTTCTCCTGCTTCCTTTTCCAGGTCTGATGCTACACCTACACCGTAGCTTGCTTTCCCCCCAGCTCCCTCGGTGGCTATTTGCTTCCTGTTTCCTGCATTCCCCCCCCCATAGAGTTCCCTCAGTGGCTGCTTCCTGCTTTGTGTGGGAGAGTTATAGAGACAAGTCTCTCTCTCTCTCTCTCAGACACACACACAAACACACATAGAGCTTCTGCTCCCTTCTCTGGGGCTGCTCCTTCTCTTTTGGGGAAGAAGGGAGGGGGAGGAAAGAGAGAGAACAAAGCCGCACAGCAGCTTTAAGACCAACAACATTTTATTCTAGGTATAAGCTTTTGCATGCAAACACACTTCTTCAGAAAGGGAGGGAGGGAGGGTGGATGGATGGGAGGGTGAATGGATGAATTCTTCCAATAAGCACAATTTACAGTGAGGAAATTATTTTGGCTTATTCTGATTTTTTTAAAAAAATTAGATTTCTCTGTTCCTATCTGGATGTAATTTTCTTTTTTTAAAAGACCCTGATTAGGAATTAGAACACTTGGATCGGGCCTTATATCTTGGAGAGTAGAGTGATTTCAGATATCAAATGATAATAGCACACATTGGTAATGAAACAGGGAACCTAGGTCTCAATTTAGTCCTGAGGATGCATTGTCTTGAGCTTCATTATCAATTGCAACTCAGCAGTATCTCTTTCTAATCTCTATGAAATTCCTTTGTAAGAGCACTGCTACTCTTAGGTCAGCAACTGAATGTTGTGGTTTCTAATGTCAAACTTATGCCCATTTATTCTTTGCATCCCTCCTGGACTGAATCATCCTGGATGAAACTGAGACCTAGGTTTCCTGTCTCATTATCAGTGCTGGGATCTCCATACCTACTACCCCTCTGCATATCACACCTAATCCAATCAAGCCTCCTATTGTCATTCACCTGCTATTGCCATCTGGCACCTGAAGTCACCTTTATAAAGTTTACATATCCGCAGGCCAGTAGCTACAGTGGGACATGTCAGCGAAGTGACATTTATATCTGATCCAGCCCTTGTAACAAATGAGTCTGACACCTCTTACTTAGAATATCTCTCCCATCCTTGCTGATGAATTGTGCTGGTCTCTCTTGTCTTTTGAAGTAAATGGAGGCACACACACATATCCCAAATGGAGGCAGAAAATACAAACTAAACACATTCAGTCCATATAAATTATCCTTCTTGGAAAGGGTGTCCTGGAAAGTGGGGGGGAAAAACATTAAAACCTCTGACAAACAATTTCCATACACATTCAGTATTCTAGCAAGGTCTTCTGTTTATTTGCGGCCTTTAAAGTATTACCTTGCTCTTCTCCAGGTTCTTCCGATATGCTCAGGAAATTTAACGTGTGGACAGTATTCCTGTACAAGAGATCAAGTCCCATTGAAAGCTCTTCCCCAAAAAAACTTTCTGGGTGGATGAAGAATCTATTGAATGAAACCTTGTTGTGAGATGAAACTTCACATGAGTTCTAACTGCATAAAATGCACTCAGATCTTTGCCTTCATAAATATTGATCCTATAATTAAGTTAAATTGTATAATACAATGCAGTAATTATTTATTTTGAAATGCACTTTGTTGTTTAGAATAATCAAAACAGATTTCTTTCTTATGCCTTTTGGCCACTAGAATTGCAAAACCTTAAACCTTCAAGGCTTGTCGCAGTTGTTGTTGTCCTACTTCAATGGATTACCCAAAAGCATGACTCTTTCTATGACACCCAGCTTTATCTGTTGAAGGGCAGCCCGGCCAGATACCACCCCTGCAAATTTGGCAGAGGGGATGGAGGCCTTGGTGGGATGGTTAAAACAGAGCCGGCTGAGATTAAACACTTCTAAAATTGAGGTTCTGTGGTCGGGGCAGGGAGATTCTGATGTGGGGTGCCAACTCCCAGCTCTTGATAGTGTGCCTTTGAGACCAGAACCTACTGTTAAGAGCCTGGGGGTGATTCTGGATACCTCCTTAACAATGGAGGCCCAGGTCACCAATGTTGCAAAACAGGCATTTTTCCAACTACGCCAGGTCAGACAACTGCCTCCGTACCTTTCTCGCCCTGACCTAGCCACTGTAATCCATGCAATGGTCACCTCCAGGCTGGACTACTGTAACTCACTCTATGTGGGCCTACCCTTGAGGCTGACCTGGAAACTCCAACTGGTGCAGAATGCAGTGGTTCAGGTCCTCACAGGGACACCGCACACAACACATGTTCAGTCTGTGCAGTGTGAGCTGCATTGGCTTCTGGTGGAGTACAGGATCAGGTTCAAGGTCTTGGTATTGACCTTTAAGGCCTTTAACAGCCTTCAGGACAGCCTCTCCTGGTATACCCCCAGAAGGGCAATATGCTCTGTAGATAAAAACCTACTGGTTGGTCCCCAGCCCAAGAGATATCCAGCTGTCCTCGACCAGGGCCGAGGCCAGGAACACTCTGCTGAATAACATCCGTACCGTGTGCGACTTATTACAGTTTTGCAGGGCTTGTAAGGCGTTCTGCCAGGCGTTCGGTTGAGAACAGCGACAGTTCCCTCTTGGCACTCCCGTCCCTGCAGTACTATTGAGGTTTTAATGCCATCTTTAACTCAACTGTTGGTCTATTGGTTTAATCTTGTTTTATCTGACATTTTATAACCATGTTGTATACTGTGCTGAACCTGGTCTCCGGGGGAGGGCGGTTGAGAAATCAAATTAAATAATTAATAAATAAACAGTGAAGGTTAAAACAGAGGGAGATGGGAAGGTCTGTGATTTAATCCTGTCAGCTTTATAAAATTGCTAAAGGAAGCCAGGAGATCCAGGTGTCTGGCCCGTGTGAATGGGCCTTAAAAACTAGATGAGGTCTTCATTCCTGAGTATGCCAACAACATTCACAACTTGCTTGCTTTACAGTTTTATTTGATTTTATTGGCTTTATAACTATTGTATTGATTATGTTGTTCCCCACCTTGTTAATGGATGAATAAATAAATAACTTCATTTTACCAGTTAAAGGCAGGTAATTTTTAAAAAAGCCTCTGCAAATTGGTTAGCACTGGGTAGCCTTGGACAAATCTCTTTTATTTATCATGTTGTTTCTCTGTGTGACAAACTCTTGTCTTTCAGCCGTTATTTTGAAAATAAAATGACATGTAGCTATGTTGTATCCTGAGTTCTTGTAATAATGTGAGAAAGAAATTTAACCAAAAACAGACCACAATGTACTACGTAACAGCACCCACATCCCTTCACATTCTCTTCTCTGTAATGTATTCTCTCATTGTGATACATATAGTCATTTTTACACACCAGTGGAGTGGATAGGATAGGATTTGCCTAATTTATGGCTGGATTCCAAACACTTCTGCATTTGATGGGATTATGTTGCCAATTTAATTTTTCCAGCAGCATCTGCTCATGCTTCAGGGGATGGTACTCTGGAGGTCTTCCAGCTGGGTGGCAGCTGGGAGGCACATCTGCTGCAAGGTGCTTCTGTGAAGTACCCTAGAATGTACAGAACATCTGCATGTGAAGTCTAGATCCTAGCCTGTGCACTTCAGCTATCTACATTGCCTGATAAAGATGGTAATCCCATTTGCTTAGGGTTGCCAGGTCTGGCTTGGAAAATACCTGGAAACTTTGGGGGTGGATCCAGGAGAGGGCGGAGTTTGGGGAGAGGAGGGGCCTCAGCATGGTACAATGCCATAGAGGCCACCCTTCAAAGCAGCCATTTTCTCCAGGGGAGCTGATCTCTGTCAGCTGGAGATCAGTTGTAAAAGCAGGAGATCCCCAGGCCCCACCTGGAGGTTGGCAACCCTACATTTCCTCCAGCTCAGTGATCCCTCCTTCCTGCCCAATGTTTTAATTGCTGTTTTTATGTTGCGTGTATATTTTAGCTCTGTTTTCAATTGTTTTAATGATATGTTTTTGTCGGTTTTAATGGTTTCTAAGATGTGATTTTATTATGTACGTTTTTCATTTGTTAGCTGCCATGTTGCCCATTATACAGCCAGATAGCTGGAGCATACAATTTGTGAAATAAATAAAAAGTAAATAATTTAATTTCTATTTCCCAAACTAAAGAAGAAAACCGGTGCAAAAGGTGAAAGGTAAAGCACAAGCAGGCAACAGGCAAAATATGTTGCTGGGAGAAATAATGTAATTATGATTTGTTCCAGTATTGCATGGTGCAAGAAATAACAAAATAATTATAGTAATTACTTCCTTAATGATAGATGTGACCTTAAACTGAGACCCTGGAGATCTGCTGCGCCTGCTAGTCGGAGTTGACAATGCTGACCTTGATAGACCCATGGTCTGACTCAGTACGCAGATTTGTGCATTCATGTATGTGATCAGTAGTTCAAGAAGCAGCTCCTCTTTAACTGAGATAATAGCTTAACATCAATGCAGATTGTATTCCCATTATGACTGATCTGCTACTATGTTCCGCCATCGCTACACAATTATTGACACTGTACTAGCACTTTTTTATCGGTTTTACAAATGTTGTGTTTTATGTATTCTAACTTTTTATGTAAGCTGCCCTGAGCCTGCTTCAGTGGGGAGGGCGGAAAATAAATCTAATAAACAAACAAATAGAATTCATTTAACAGAATTGTCCAGTTTTAGACATATATTGCTACTACATGAACAGCAAAATGAGTAAAGTGAAATTTGTATTTTGATCGTTTGACTTATAAAATCCTTGTTAGATCACTGCTGCCATCTACTGTTGTAACACAGGTTAGAACAAACTGTGTACAGCATTTCAAAACTATTGTTACCCAAATCAGTTCCCCATGTCAGGGCAGGCTTGGGAAAAGTGTCGTCCACATGTGTATAAGTAGAACATGGATTCTTAGGTTAGAGATCATTTGAATCCACTGTATGCAGAGTTCTCATCCTGACACAGTGAATATCCCAAGGAAGGGAGGGGGGAGGGGGGGAGGGAACAGATACTTAACCCAGAAGTAAGATACAAAATAGAAAAAGGTACAAAATAGATATAAGATTCAAAACGGAAAAAGGGGTGGCTGTACAAGTATTTGGTGATGAAATACAATAGGAATTCATCTGTGACAATGTAATAAAAACCAATTTCATTTGCCCAATCATAATATTCAGTTGTTTTACTTGAAGATAATACCTCATTAACGTTACTTTGGACTCAAACAGTGTTTCTTCCATGTATCTAGTCCAGGGAAACCAATTTGGAGAGAAATGATAGATGTAAGTGCTAACCAAAAGGGACCAAAAGATGTGAAGGGATGAGAAAGGAAGGTCCCCTCCCCCCAGAAAAAGAAGGTGGGAGTACTATCAGGGAAGACGATCTCTAGTAGCTATAAGTCAGACCAGCCAAGAGCAGGGACAGAGGAAGCTAAGAGATGGGTGTGGGTGGAAAGAGGTGGAGGATCAATTTCAGGAAGGGAAAGCAGAGAAAGAGAAAGCATCCTCAGCCTGTTTTGAGGAGGAGGACTAGGGGTCATTTCCTGCAGGAGCGCACAGGAGCAGAGCTCCGGCAGTAAAGAGCCCAGGGGGGGGCACATGCAACAAGCCCCACCCCCTGCTCCCAGCAGCCCTCAGTCAGAGCAAGAAGCAGCCAGGTAAGTTGCAGAGCTCCCCCTGGCCCCCGGGTCCAAAACAGTCCAGTGGCACCTTTAAGACCACGTTTTATTCAGGTACAAGCTCTCCCTCCTCTGTGAGGACAGATCTGCACGTTCTCTCCCCCCCCCCAATAGCTAGCAATCCAAAACAGTCCAGTGGAGCCTGAGCGGTGGATGTTGCCTTCTGACACACTTTCGGTGACATCAGGGGGTGTGGAATATGCAAATAAGTTATGCTAATGAGTTAAGCTAATGAGCCCCTGCATCTCTTTTTCTACGAAATGACCCCTGAGGAGGACTAGTGATTTCATTGTCACTGATGACAGAAGAAGGTTTGGGAGCAGAAGCAACTGTAAGAATGGAGGGCTTGCTTAGCCCTTTTTATGCACTTGTATTTACCTGGCATTATCAGGGAGAGCAATGCCATTGGCCAACATGGATGCAGAATGAAGATCCACATTGGCATTCAGCCAAAATTCCAGCTGCTCACTAGTAAAATTTGGGTTGCACTGCAATTGGTGGGACTTCAGCATTTGAGCCACTATTGGTGAACTGGTCAGAATCTGAACAATACAGAAAGCAGATTACAAAGCATAGGACAATGCAACAGAAGATGGTAATACCTACAATAATTATAATTTTTCTTCTTCAGACTAACACAGCTACCCATCTAGATACCCAACAGGGATTAACTTCCAAAAGTACAGTGAAACAAAGTCACATTTATCTATATATCTAATAGCCAAGTTGCCCCCTCTGTGCAGATATCTAAATCTGCACATCGGGGGCACTTGGGGGGCAGAGAGATTTTCCTGCACACTTGGAGCAGTCCCCAGGTGTGCAGAAAAATCTAAAAATTTGAAAATATATATATGGGGGATATTTAAATCCTCAATGTCAGCAAGCTGCCATTCTGTTTTCTGTGACCTCTGTGTACATATCCTTACCCTGTTGCTCCC